AGACTGCTTGCCAGAACTTAATTTGCAGCCTTTTGGCTGGGAGCTCACGGCCTTGCAATTGTCGCAAGGAACTGATAAGGTCTGTTGCTACCATTAACTTTTTGAAGGACTATTGCCTGGACTTTTTGGTGGGTAAATACAATTAATTCACAAGAGGGTTTTTTCGTGACAAGGAGTCTGTTTCTTGCGTCTGCTAAGGCTGGGTCAGAACACTGTCATAATATGAGTTAGTTGTCAAGCGTCTGAATTGTGATCACGTGATCATGGGAACGCTGCAACGGTTGTGTGAAAAACAGTCATGTCAGTTGAAACTTCTAACAGTCACAAACTGAACTATTATAAGTTGAGGACTACCTGTATATACTTGACAGAGGAAATCGTTTAGATCAGCGCTAGCTGGGGGATTCTGGGAGTTGAAGTCTTCATCTTCAAGCTTCCAAGGTTGAGAAACACTGGTTTAGATAAAGCAGCTGAAAACTTTGGAAGGAAGGACATTTTCAACCAGTGGTGGGATTCAATTAATTTAACAACCGGTTCTCTGCCCTAATGACCAGCTGGGTAGGTGTGGCTCGGTAGTCATGTGACTGTGTGGGTGTGGCCAACTCAATGTCACTCACACCGATGGGCACTTCACCTTAGCTGTTATAATGTAATAAGGGTTAACCAGAGTTTCTGTAAGCAAGGCAATAAAGATTAGTCTAGAAACAATACCAGAATGTTTCCTTCTTGCCTTCTTACAGGATTAGCTGTGTAAAATGGAAAAAACACAAAATAAGATTTCTTCCAACAAGCAGTTCTCCAAACTGCTTAGAAAGTTAACAACCAGTTCTCCCGAATAGGTGCGAACTGGCTGAATCCCACCAGTGTTTGCAACCGAAAAAAAAAAATCACGTCAAATGTATTCCTTCATCTCAATACAGGTCAGCCTAACTTAAATGCAGTGATATTTTCAAAGCTGGAATCACGGCATTGATCAAAAACAGATTGTTTTCCCTCACTTTGCCTTGCTCTTTTAGAACAGATTAAGTAGTGAATAATTCATGACTTTTCAGCTAATGAAATTTAAGAACTTCTTGTGGTCAAATTAAGGGGGGAAGAGTTGGGTAGGATTATAACTTTTGATATCCTCTTCCTAATATAAAAAATAGTTGAGGGTGGGCATTGCAGAAAGTAGCAGAATTGTCTCTCTGAACTAATTTAAGTAGGAGTCACTTTTGGGAACTAAAAATGATGGATTCAATTATTTCACATCTATATCACTTCATTTTCCCCGCCTTAGGTTTAGTCTATTGGGTAAGTGCTCACAGCAATATTTCAATCTTGCTGAGCAAATATTTAATTCCTTTCAGAAATGAGATATTCCTGTTAAAAATGGTAAGAAAAAAACAGAGAGAGACAAAGTTGCAAGAGTTACCTAACTAAAACACACTTTCAAGATATCTATAACTTGGAATATGTCCAAAGGAGGGTGAGATTTTGAATAGATGAGACATCTAGAATGAAAGCAGGATCTGTGAGCAATGGCTAGAAGAACCAGGTTATGTTTACCAGAAGATCAAGTGATCAAAATTTGGGGCTGCCACAATGAAGAGGGGGGCCAACCTGTTCTCCAGAGCACCTGAGGGCAGGACAAGAAGCAACGGATGGAAACTAATCAAGAAGAGGACCAACCTGGAACTAAGGAGAAATTTCCTGACAGTTAGAACAAATAATCAGTGGAACCGCTTGCCTCAAGAGGTTCATAATTTTAAAGAAGAGATCAGACAACCATTTGTCTGGGGGTTGGACTAGAAGACCTCCAAGGTCCCTTCCAATTCTGTTATTCTGATAAAATGAAAGAGGGGTCTTCAAATGTCATAATTCCATAGTAATTCCAATTCGATTTGTTTCATTGAACCCAGAGATAGAAATTGTAAGAAAATTTGTTTCAAATAATCATTGAAAGATTTTTTTTTTTTTCAACCAATAAGGTTTGTTTGCTACTGCAGCAAATTCCTTGGGATGTCCTATATGTTCTTTCCTGAAAGCGCTGAAGCAAAAACTAAACAGACCTTCATCAAAAGGCAGATTCTGTACATGGAAATGTTGGCTGCAGTAAAAGGCTTTCCCCAAGACCATAATGCTAGGATGAGATTAAAAATCAAGATTTCAAACCATGCAGATCAGAGGTGGGTTTCAGCAGGTTCTGACCAGTTCTGGAGAACCGGTAGCGGAAATTTTGAGTAGTTTGGAGAACCGGTAGTAAAAATTCTGACTGGCCCCACCCCCATCTGTTCTCTGCCTCCCATGTCCCAGCTGATCGGGAAGAAATGGGGATTTTGTAGTAACCTTCCCCTGGAGTGGGGTTGGAATGGAGATTTTACAGTATCCTTCTCCTGGAGAGTGGTGGGAATGGAGATTTTACAGTATCCTTCCCCTGGAGAGTGGGGTTGGAATGGAGATTTTACAGTATCCTTCCCCTGGAGAGTGGGGTTGGAATGGAGATTTTACAGTATCCTTCCCCTGGAGAGTGGTGGGAATGGAGATTTTATAGTATCCTTCCCCTGGAGAGTGGTGGGAATGGAGATTTTATAGTATCCTTCCCCTGGAGAGTGGTGGGAATGGAGATTTTACAGTATCCTTCCCCTGGAGAGTGGTGGGAATGGAGATTTTACAGTATCCTTCCCCTGGAGAGTGGGGTTGGAATGGAGATTTTACGGTATCCTTCCCCTGGAGAGTGGTGGGAATGGAGATTTTACAGTATCCTTCCCCTGGAGAGTGGGGTTGGAATGGAGATTTTACAGTATCCTTCCCCTGGAGAGTGGGGTTGGAATGGAGATTTTACAGTATCCTTCCCCTAGAGAGTGGTGGGAATGGAGATTTTACAGTATCCTTCCCCTGGAGAGTGGTGGGAATGGAGATTTTACAGTATCCTTCCCCTGGAGAGTGGGGTTGGAATGGAGATTTTACAGTATCCTTCCCCTGGAGAGTGGGGTTGGAATGGAGATTTTACAGTATCCTTCCCCTGGAGAGTGGTGGGAATGGAGATTTTACAGTATCCTTCTCCTGGAGAGTGGGGTTGGAATGGAGATTTTACAGTATCCTTCCCCTGGAGAGTGGTGGGAATGGAGATTTTACAGTATCCTTCCCCTGGAGAGTGGTGGGAATGGAGATTTTACAGTATCCTTCCCCTGGAGAGTGGGGTTGGAATGGAGATTTTACAGTATCCTTCCCTGGAGAGTGGGGTTGGAATGGAGATTTTACAGTATCCTTCCCCTGGAGAGTGGGGTTGGAATGGAGATTTTACAGTATCCTTCCCCTGGAGAGTGGGGTTGGAATGGAGATTTTACAGTATCCTTCCCCTGGAGGAGTGGTGGGAATGGAGATTTTACAGTATCCTTCCCCTGGAGAGTGGTGGGAATGGAGATTTTACAGTATCCTTCCCCTGGAGAGTGGGGTTGGAATGGAGATTTTACAGTATCCTTCCCCTGGAGAGTGGTGGGAATGGAGATTTTACAGTATCCTTCCCCTGGAGAGTGGGGTTGGAATGGAGATTTTACAGTATCCTTCCCCTGGAGAGTGGGGTTGGAATGGAAATTTTACAGTATCCTTCCCCTGGAGAGTGGTGGGAATGGAGATTTTACAGTATCCTTCCCCTGGCATGCCCACCAAGCTATGCCCACCAAGCCATGCCACACTCACTAAGCCACATCCACAGAACCGGTAGTAAAAAATTTTGAAACCCACCACTGATACAGATGTATCAGTTTTCTACTGATTTCCATATCTCATTGAAACAAGACTTCAAAATCAATCATAATTTAGCACAATCTATATATAAACAGTCATAATTTCTGTCTGGGAGGGGGAATCCATCTCGTGGCATAGATGCTAAAGCTTTAGAATAGGGTTAGGGCCAAGTTCAAGATCCTGATGGATCTTGACAGACTTGAACACTGGGCCCTATCTAACAAAATGAAATTCAATGTAGAGAAAACTAAAGTTGGTTTACTTTATTGTCATTGCACATGGTACAACGAAATTAAATGCCGTCTTCAAAGTCCTACACTTAGGCAAGAAAAACCAAAAGAACACCTACAGACTGGGTGAAATCAGGCTTAATAGCAGTGACTGTGAGAGGGATCTTGGAGTCTTAGTGGACAACCAGCTAAATATGAGCCAGCAGTGTGAAGCGGCAGTCAGAAAAGTCAATGCAATCCTAAATTGCATTAACAGAGGGATACAATCAAGATCAAGTGAGGTACTAATACCACTCTATAAAGCCCTAGTAAGACCACACCTAGGATATTGCAACCAGTTTTGGTCACCACTCTATAAAAAAGTTGTTGAGTCTCTAGAAAAAGTGCAGAGAAGAGCAACCAGGATGATTAGGGGACTGGAGACTAAAACATATGAAGAACGGTTGCAGAAACTGGGCATGGCTAGTCTAGTGAAGGGAAGGACCAGGAGAGACATGATAGCAGTCTTCCAATATTTGAGGGGCTGCCACGGGGGGGGGTGTCAAGCTATTTTCAAAAGCACCTGTAGGCCAGGCAAGGAATAATGGATGGAAACTGAACAAGGAGAGTTTAACCTGGAAATGAGGAGAATTCTTTTGACCAATGCAACAGAAGTTGCCTTCGGAAGTTGTGGGAGCTTCATCACTTGAGACTTTCAAGAAGAGATTGGACTGCCATTTGTCAGAAATGGTGGAGGGTCTCCTGCTTGGGTGGAGGTTTGGACTAGAAGACCTACAAGGTCCCTTCCAACTCTGTTAATCTGTAAACCAGATTCAAACCCAACCTGAGACTTAAGTTTGGGGTTGTCATTTTCTGTGAGGTAAATCTGAGCCCAATTTACCTCACAATATAATCCTCATATATCCTCATATAATCCTCATGTAAGCTGCTTTGAGTTCCATAAAAATCTAATAAAATAATAATAACAATAACAATAACAATAACAATAACAATAACAATAACAACAATAATAATAATAAAAGGAATAAGGATTATACTCACCACTCTGAGTATTCAAAATGTGGTGTTTGTCCAAGGACCAGCCTCCTAGATTTGAAGCATCCAACTCAAATCCTTGTAACGTCACTGTCCTTTTCTCCCAGAGAATCAAATCAGGACAGCTCTCATATTCGTAACCTACCGAGACTGTGGAGAGATAAAATACAACAGATCATAGCTACTACTTCATCCATGGCCTAGGGTGGGTCTAAGAGCAGGCAACTGGTAGCAAAGTGGTACTCCAGAAGAAAACCATCTTACGACATTAGTGTCTTTGCGTATTCGATTTTGAATATGGTAAAAAAGATTCATATTTCATCCATTCTTTTCGAGAAGGACCTGGTCTAGTAGCAATGGAGTAGAAGCCATCTTAGAAGGATGAGGAAGAGATCACATTGCACTTGTGTTGGCGCTTCCAGGTTGAAAGGATTAACCGGTGGCATCATCGTTGCCTGGATGATGCCCAATTGGGGGTTACTTTCATGTCACTGGCAAGAACTGGAGCAAAGTACAGGAGCTCACCCTGCTCCAAGGCAGCACTCGGGTCTCGAACGTGAGCTTGCTAACCAACCCAGCACCCTAAGTACAAGAGCCTCCTATGCTCTTATACGAGGAGGAGACGCAAAGTTACTTAGGAAGGTTAACTTCTGTGTTGCAGGGCTGCTAATCATGACACCAAGCCATGGTCTAGGAAGCTCTTTTAAACTTTGACTCCCCACCACTACCGCCTACCCCCAAAATAACCACCAAAGAGTTTAATTGCATTGCTGCTTAGTCTGAGTAAGCGTATTTGGTTGGTGATTACTTTCTTTTTAAAGAAATGAAAAAAAGTGAGCCAGGAATCAGGTACTCAATCTATGACATTCTTATTAAAGGGGCTGAGATTAAACCTCGCAATTTAAAGATAACTCAGAGTAACTCTTTCAAACCTTAAAAGTCAACAGGAACAGGAGAAGCCATAAAACATGCCATAGTAACAACAGCAACGAGGAGAAAATAGCTTTTTGCAGTGGCAATTTTTCCTCTGTTTCATTATCATGACAAATACAGTCAATTCTTTTGCCGCTGGAGCTGATTCCCGGATTCTCTGGGACGACCACTGAGTGCCTGCTGGCAATGCAGAGGCTCAAGAGTATATGAGAAGGGAGGAAGGGGGAAAAAATTCCCCAACTAAAAGATATAATTGCTCTCTGCTGCTGGAGGGAACAGCTCGGGTTGTAAATATAAAAAATGTTTCTTGGGAAGACAGACATGGAAGGCAGAGGTAGCAAATTTAAAAGGAAGAACTGTACCGCACGCCGAAAACATTACAATAATGGAACAACCTTGGGCTTACGAAGATAAATGAATGCTTTCTGACTTGCAATGGCTCTCCTGGGACTTAAGGCAGAAGTCATTCCTCCTGATCATTTTGGAAATCCTAAAGATTGAACCTTGGATATTTTGTACTCAAAACTCATGGCCTACGATGGGATTCCACCGCCCTCCTTCCGCTGAACGGAGAGGTTGTTTCAGTGGTATCTAGCAATCATCTTTAAGAGGGTAAATGATGCTTTGAGGTTTCTTTCCTTGTTTTACCCACCAATTTGTATCAGCTCTGAAATTGTCACAGCGGTGCTGTCTTCCTGAGGGCAGGGGACTTACACAGCATCGCTCTGGGCAAAGGCAGAAAGGCATGCCTGAATGAAAACCTCAGTGCTCATCCAGAGGTTCAGGATGCTGCCCCATTGTTGCTTCTGGAAGCAGGGCGATTATAGTGGCAGGCTAAAAGAACAAATGGCCAGGTCCAGTCCATCATACGGCGCACCCATGTAACACCTCTCCTGCACGAGCTGCACTGGCTCCCGGTGGTCTTCCGGGTGCGATTCAAGGTGTTGGTTACCACCTTTAAAGCGCTCCATGGCTTAGGACCTGGGTATGTACGAGATCGCCTTCTGCCACCTATAGCCTCCCACCGGCCAATACGCTCCCACAGAGAGGGACTCCTCTCTGGGTGCCGTCGGTCAAACAATGTTGACTGGCGACACCCAGGGGGAGAGCCTTCTCTGTGGGGGCACCTGCCCTCTGGAATGAACTGCCCCCGGAGATTCGCATGATCCCCGACCGACGTACCTTTCGCCGTGCCCTTAAGACTTTACTATTTCAACAGGCTGGGCTGGCTTAGAAAATGAATTTTAATTGGGTGTTTGTAGTTCTTTTTAATATAAGGGCCAAATTTGTAATATATTTTAAACTGTTTTTAATTTTATGGGTATATGTTGTTTTAGTATGGCTGTACACCGCCCTGAGTCCTTCGGGAGAAGGGCGGTATAAAAAGTTAAATAAATAAAATAAATAAAATAAATAAATAAATAAATACTTGGGAAAGGATATCCCAAAGGTGCTTTTTCAGGAGGCAACTGGACTTTCTCGTTTTTCTTTGAAGACGTTTCGCTTCTCATCCAAGGAAGTCCAGTTGCCTCCTGAAAAAGCACCTTTGGGGCAACCATGACTGTGGTTGACTGACAATCTCCATAGCCATTTAGCTATGCAATTTGGGTTGAACACCTTCGAATGATGTGGGAGTATGAACGGATTGGGTCAGATCCAGCCCACAGACCTTGAGTTTGACACTCCTGGTCTAGCCTAATGAAAATAAGGACTGGGGTGACATGATAGCAGCATCCTGATATTTGAGGAGCTGCCACAAAGAAGGTGGGGGGAGTCAACCTATCCTCCAAAGCAGCTGAAGACGGAACAAGACGCAATGGATGGAAACTAATCAAGGAGACAACCAACCTAGGACTAAGGAGAAATTTCCTCATGGTGAGAATAATTAGTCAGTGGAATGGCTTGTCTCCAGAAATTATGGCTGCTCCATCACTGGAGGTTTTTAAGAAAAGATTGGACAGCCATTTGTCTGGAATGATACAGGATCTCCTGCTTGAGCAGGCGGGTTGGACTAGAAGACCTCCAAGGTCCCTTCCAACTCTGTTATTCTGTCATTCCTGTTTCATTTATGTCACAGCACTAGCTCCCCTGCGTCTTTCCTCGCTCTAATCCAGGGGTGTCAAACTGGCGGCCCGTGGGTCAGATGCCTCATGCGCAGGCAACACCCACCCCGACTCCGCAAAGGCAAAAAATGTCATGATACGTTGCGATACATCACGTAACGCAATCCAGTTTGACACCCGTGCTCTAATTTAACACTGTGAAGTCAATAGTTCTCGCTAGAAGTAAATAGAGGGAAGTGACAGAATTCTCCATTTAAAACAAAACAAACAAACAAAAAAAAAAACATCCCTCTCCTTGAAGAAGAAGAATAAAACTAGGCAGGAAATTAGGGATTTCATCTTTGGGATGAAGTCCTCAATGGTAATAGAATTACACGATTGTAAAAAAAAAAAAAAAATGTTGATTCTCTCTTTTTCTGGTGGCAGTAAAAGCTGAAAATGAGCCTTGGTGGTGCAGCGGACTAAAGTGCTGTTAAGTAGCACTTAGCTGTCAGCTGCCTGCAATTACTGCGAGTTCAAATCTCACCAGGCTCAAGGTTGACTCAGCCTTCCATCCTTCCGAGGTAGATAAAATGAGGATCCGGATTGTGGGGGCGATAAGCTGACTTTGTATAAAAAAAGAACACCGCTTAGGGGGGGCCAAAAGCCCTACTAAGCAGGTATATCCGGAGAAGGGCGGCATATAAATCGATCCAATAAATCACTCACTCACTCACTCACTCAATCAATCAATAATAAATAAATAAATAAATAAACAAACAAACAAACAAACAAACAAACAAACAAATAAATAAATAAATAAATAAATAAAATGTCTTCAGGAAACTAATATGAATAACTGCGTATTTGACAGGAGCCTAAGCCAAAGCATTTAGAGAAGAATCAGCCTGAACATAAAATACACTGGATGACATGAAAAGTGCTTAGATAAATAAGAGCCCTGCAATTTTTAAAAATCTTGTTAACCCAGTATTGAGAACATTGGCTTCTGGGCTGCACGAAAATGTTTATATACGTTCATATGTAAATAATTCTCTCAATCTCTTGCCTGAGACTTACACAGAAGTATGGAAATATATAAATGGAAGGCCCTCCTGGCCCCCTTCTTTCTTGAATAATAATATAAACTAGACAAAGTAACAGCAAACGAAAAAGCTAAGGCACCTTTAGAAACTGAACAAATAAGCACCTGCCATATAACAATCCAGACCTAACAATTGTCGATAAGAAAGACAAAAAAAATATATGTATAGTGGATGTTGCAGTCTTGGAAAAAGCAGAATATAAGAGAAACAATGGGAGAAAATCACAAGATACAAACACCTGCAAATAGAAGTAGAAAAATATGTGGCAATCTAGACCAACAGTAATAGCCGCCTTGGGTGAAATCCCAAAACATCTGGAGCACCACTTGAACGCCAACGGCATTGACAAAATCCTCATCAGTCAATTGCAAAAGGCAGCTCTACTTGGAGCAGCTGACATCCTGTGATGGGATGGGAAGGACTTGATGGGTGGATCAAAATGCTAAATCCAATCTAAACCTCTGGCTGACTGTGTGACCGGCGATCATCATCATTACATTAAACTTGTATGTAAATTAAACTTGCATGCCACCTGATGTGAAAAGAATCTGGGTGGATCACAACAATCAAACACAAGCATTATTTTATTTATTTATATTATTTCTTCAGCTACCCACTTCAACCCAGTGACAGTTTAAATAATTGAAAACAGCAGAAAAATATATACAGCAGCTGAGAAAATAATAATAATAATAATAATAATAATAATAATAATAATAATAATAATAATAGTAGTAGTAGTAGTAGTAGTAGTAGTAGTAGTAATAGTAATAGTAGTAGTCAGTATAGTCAAGAAATACGGCCCTGAACACATTCAGGGTTCCGGGCCTAGGCCCATAACCAGGTTTATAAAGCCTTAAAGGTAAAGGTAAAGGTTCCCCTCTCACATATGTGCTAGTCGTTCCTGACTCTAGGGGGCGGTGCTCATCTCCGTTTCAAAGCCGAAGAGCCAGCGTTGTCCGAAGACATCTCCGTGGTCATGTGGACGGTATGACTCAATGCCAAAGGTGCACGGAACGCTGTTACCTTCCCACCAAAGGTGGTCCCTATTTTTCTACTTGCATTTTTT